AAACCAAATTCTTTGAACGATCATACTATTGCGGTTCTAGCACTTTGAAGAACCGCTCGGTCCATCTGCTCGATTGCAAACGTAGTCGGAGGACGAAAGCCTAAAATTGCATCCATTCAAATCGTTGAATACGGCGCACAAAAGAATCACAAGATATCATTGCACACAGCCGGCCGCTAAGTGCTTGATGAGCTTGATGACGTCAACAGTCATTCCACCAAATTATCCGATTGAATAATGAATAGAATGGCCGGATATCATGTGCATGTACCGACCAATACCACCGATTATCTGTAATCATTGGCGCAAAGTTGTCTCAGCGTCCGTGTTTTTCACGTACTTTTTGAGAGCGGCCCCTCTGATGACGTCAGCAGCCATCCCCACCAATAATCTTCGATCAGAATCTGTATGTCCTAGGCTGAGTCTAGGACGTACATTCTGAAAGGATATACAGAAGGTGTGTTAAAAAGTGGGACACTCGATCACCTTTGCGCCGACAATCATAGTGAATGGTTGGTGGGAGTTTTGCTGACGTCATCAGAGCGGTCGACGTGAAAACATTCATTGAAAACTCGGACACTCGGACACGTTTGCGCCATCTATTACAAGCGAGAGTGCAGAGAATGGCTGCTGACGTCATCCAAGGGGGTCGACTCAAAAACGCTCATCAAAACGTCGGACACTTGGACACCTTCGCGCCATCGATCATATGTGAAAGTGCGGGGAATGGCTGCTGACTTCATCGAAGGGGGGCGGCAAGTTTCGAATACACCCAAAGCTACAACATCCAAGATAGTCTCAAGGCACTGATCCAAATGCATGGTAGCCGCATCTCAAAATCGTTAATCGAGCACTTTTGATCGAGCACTTTTAAGCACAGCTTTGTCCATCTCGATGGCTGCTACAGTAAGCGCAATTGGGGGCGGAAACCAAGTATTGCATCCATTCGAATCGTTCAATACGGTGCACAAAAGAATCACAGTATACCATTGCACATACTAGCCGTTGAAGTGCTTCTACTCGGTAGTTTGATTGTGCAATATGTATCTCTTATATGCCTTTGACTTCTCGAACTTTTGCTCGAGCTTCTCAAGAATCCATCTCTCACATGCCCGTTCTAGCTCTCGGCTTGCTTGCTTCACCTTTGCTATATATTCCTCAAACTCGACCAGATATTCTGCATAGTCGTCAATGAGTGCACATTCGACCGACAACCACGCTCTCCACAACATGCCACCAGCTTTCTGAGCGCTTTGACCGGGCTTGAAACGCTCCTCGTTGAGTGGGGCAAACAGTTCCGTAGCGTAGCACTTCTTTGCTTGCTCTTGTTCCAGACCATCTGGAGAGCCCGTGAAGTGCTCAATGAATTGCCGCAGGTGCTCCCCACTCCTCCCCTGCTTGACAATGATGCCGCAGTCAATAAGTGATGATGTACACCTATTGATGAATGATGTACTCCGATTGAGAGGAAATGTACGCGTATTGCCAAAGATGTTCCCAAGTCCTCCCTTAATCAAAATGATGCAGCAGTCATTAAGGAATGATGTACACGATTCTTTGTCCAATCTAGTTAGATTATCGAGTGATGTTCTCTTGTTACAAAGTAATGTAAACTGATCAGCTACAGTAATGAGTTTTATACGCTGATTGATAGAAATGTACTCTAACTGCCAAACTCGGCCTGACCTTTGGTCAAATTCAACACGAAGCGCACCGCTTGGAGCTTGAAGCCTGGATCTGACAATTTGCACATGCACCCTATACATCGACAACCTTCAATTAACAAGTGCAGATAGACGGCCTGCCTTAACGATGCCGACAAGCACAACTTGGAGCAAGATTGGAACCTCACATTAATCTACCAGTTGCTTTCAAATTTGCCTCTGCTTGCAAAAGGTCCTGCGGCCGATAAGGTGCATGTACACGAATTTTTGACCAATCGACCAAAATTTCAGGCAATGTACCTTGATTCAACAAGAATGTACACGTTTTGCAGGCCGGCCATGAGTGACCCCGAAAACCAAGTCGAAGCTGTAGCAAACGGGTTGACTCACCTCAACCTTATCTGGGTGGAATCGCAGGGACCACGTCGCGTGGTTCAGCACGATCTCTCCCAGATCGAATTTCTCCTTCAGATCCTGCACATAAATCTCAGCATCGGCAATCAGCTATGAGATAGGCGGCCGCACGTAAGCCGGTGCTTTGGGCATCCGGGGAGCGGGCACGGCATCACGCGCCATTAGGCGGTAGTTGGCTATGTGCCGCGCGCGATGGACGGCCCGCTCCCCGTCGAGCGTCGTTCTGTATTTGGACACGGCTGCCCTGTTGCTTTGGCGCTTCAGCTGGCGACTCGCAGCTTCTGGCCCCAGGCCGTGATACTTGGAGGGCGCGCGGTTGCTTGGGAGTTTCCAGGGTTCACACCCCGTCCGCTTCCGGTGGCCTTCCAAAGCTTGCTTTGACACGAAAGGCTTGCCGCAGCTTCTTGCCTCGCTCGCATGCTGTTCGAGGCAAACGAAGCGGCCGCCGTCTCTCTTCCAGAGCTCAAGTTCCATGATCTGCAATTCAAGGCAGATGGATGACGAGTCAGCGCTCATTGTGGCTGTGAGCAAAAGCTTCTCAAAGTTGTATACCGTCTAAGCTTTTGATAGGAGCCTTCGAATGAACCCGCACAGGTACCTGGGATTCAGCCCACGCGAAAGTTGACACCCGCTGCAGGCCCAGAGTGGCAAATTTAAGAAGCCCCCAAAGGAGCTTCTGATCAGCTCTATGGCGGGCCCGCCATCAGCCTGACAGCGGGTTTCAGATCAACCCAACAGCGGGGCATCAAAACAGACCGATTCAAATCAGCCCCACGACGGGGCAACTGGCTTTGTGGCGAGCTTGAAAGATAGCCCAGAAGCGGGCGTCAAATGATTCAAATCGAGGTTCCAAAGCAGCCCCAGGAGTGGGCTCCGAATCAGCCCAACAGCGGGCCCGCAATCTGTCTGACAGCGGGTCCCAACAGCGGTCCCCGCCTCCAATCGACAGCGCCCCAATTCAGCTGACAGAGATCCAACGGCATGCCTTGCAACCAGCCTGACAACAGCTCCTAGATCACTTGAGACGGCGGGCTCTACATCAATCTGATAGCGGCCCCCAAACCAGCACTTGTCGC